CCCCGAGCGGCGCTTCGCAGGCCCCCGCGCGAACGCCGCCGACCGCCGCGTTCGGTCGCCGACTGTTACCCGGTTCTGAATGTTACACTTACACATTCCATTCCCGACACGACGGCGCTGACCTCATCCATCCACGCAGCCCGCGCTGCCATTGGCCGGGCGTCACGTCCGGGCGGGGCGGTGCTTCCGCTGCGCCCATTCATAACCCCCGGCCGGGCCGAGGCGCCGGCGAGGCGCGGGGACTGGGGGACCCGGGGCTGTGGGGCATCTCTGCACCTCAGCCGGGCGGACGCAGAGTGGCGGCTTCTCGCGCGCGCGCCCCGCGGCCCTCAGATTGCCCCGGCCTGGACCGCGCCGCCTCCGGTCGCCGCGCCGGGAACTAGCGCCGCCCAGAGGTCCCCCGGGGAAGGGGTGACCGGCTTGCGCGCCGGGGCCCGCGCCTTACTGCTCAGGCTGCCCAGGCGCCCGCAAGAATCCCGGCACCTCGGCCGCCTGCCTGCCTGCCGGGAACGTCGCTCCGAGAAGGCTGCCGAGCGTGCGGGTTCCGGGGGAGGATGTTTGAACACAGAGAAATGGGGCGAGCGGAGAGCTGGAGGAGGACTTCATAGAAAGCGGCCGCCGACCAGAAGGAGGGCTCCCCGCCCACTTTCGACCCTCCCACCCCCTTTTTTTTTTCCTACTGCACGCATTTAAATAATCTACCTTTTTCCCTGGGAGCTCTGGTGGCGTAGTGCCTAAGGTACTTGACTGCAAACTAGAAGGCTGGCGGTTCAAACCCACTAGACACTCCTGGAAGGAAGGTTGGACAATCTACTTCCGTAGTGACACCGCCTCGGAAACCCAAAGAGGGTCGCTATGAGTCAGGCCGACTCGAGGGTACATAACAACAACCTTATTCCCCTACCTTGCCCATCATTTTCTTTCTTACTCCAAGGAGACACCCAAACAAATAAAGAGGAATTACTAGACTCAGGAGGAATTGGTGCAGTTCTTTATGCCTGCCTCTGTGTGCTAAGGGTAGGAGACACCGATCCTAAATCTTCATTATCTACACACGCATCCTTTCCTTGCCTCCTTAAACGCAGCCCCACCCCCTTTCCTTAGAAACCCTCCCAGAGATCCAATCACTGCGGGAAAAAGATTTTCCAATGGGTGAGGAGAAATCAGGTAACCTAAGCTTGCCCTAGTCCCCAAGGTGATGTTACTCTCTTTTTGTGGTGGCGGTTGTTTGTAAGGAGACATCTCTTGGGAATGGGTGACTAGTACAACTGTCAATTGATCCAGCTGTAGAAGGGAAACTTGAAGCGGGAAGTTACCTTATTTAGAATTAGTGAAAGATGGTTGAGGCCTCCTACAGTTGACCTCCCACTCCTCAACCCTGCTTCTGACACCTGAGATCAACGACCTGCGATCCCTCTAAAGGTCTTCTAGGACCCCAGAGTTGAGCGGGGCTCCGGCCAAGTATGCCGGGTCAAAGCCAAGTTCCCTGGTCCCAGAGCTTGCCTTAGCTTTACAGAGCACCTCCCACCCTCTTCCCAGCTGAAGTAGCAGGCCCTGGCCAAGCTGGACAAACAGTTGCCTAGGGCAGCAAGCTGTTTAGTGATTGTTTATTATGGGAGTGACTGAGAGCTAGGGGCAGAGAGTTCCCAACTTCCCTGAGGCTGCAGAAAACCCCTGCGGGGTGTGGACCAAGGGCACAGTTGGAAATAAGGCAGGGTGAAGCAACCGGGTGGAAAGTTTTAGACTGTTATTTCAGATTTGTTTTAATAAAGGGGGGAAGGGGTGTGGGTGGGACATTACTGTACATTCCTAGAGCCTCTCCCTGTTTCTGACCAGATTTGACTTGTGGGTACTGTACAACTGAGAGAGGCCTGGGACAGAAGTGAGGATTCGGTCATCTTCCAAATATGATGACAATGACCCAGATAAATGCAATGATTGGAACCACATGTGTCCTAGGGCTTCCCCAGGCCTGGGTTACGAGACCAGCCAACCAAGTCAGGGGGCCTCCCAATCAAATCAGGACACGTATCACCTGGGCTCTGGAAGTTGCGGCTGTGGGGTTCCACACTATATCCTACCAGTTGCCCTGGGGTCTTTAGGGGGAGCTGGCTGCTGTCCCTGCTCTTTGGCAGTCTCTTCCTCCTTTGACACATTTTTCTTGTCTTGCTTGACTATGTTGATAGCCTCATCTCACCCCTCCATTGTTACCAAATCTCCCCACACATTCCATAGTGCTGTACATGGTGAGAAAAACTTTGGTACTGAAAATGAGAGAAGACTTGAATTACCATCCCAGATCGGGCATTGACAGTACCTTCAGCGTGTGGCTTAATCTCAATGAATCTCAGTTTTCTCATTTCTAAACCAGAATAATAACATCTTTCTTGTTAACCTATGTGTAAACTATAAATGGGTTGGTAAGGGTAACATCAGCCTAAATCCCACATTTTAAAATTCTAATCCTAAGTAGCCCTACAATGACAGCATCATCGCATCTCCTGGTGTATTTCTTCCCAGCCTGCTCACTAGCTGAAATCTTTGTTTGCTCCTAGACTGTCTGTATTGCCTCCCTGCAGTAGCAGCTCCCTAACAGCGGGAGCTCTGTCTGTCTACTTCCACATCCCAACACCTTGGTTAGCTCCTGGCACTTTGCTGGCACTCAAGCAGTGACTTGAATGAATGAATGAAGTTCTAAAATTCTACGTCGCCACCAATACTTGACATAAGCTCAGAAAGAAAGACTCCGTAGTAGTCTCTCAAAAGGACTTGGGTTAGCATTATTAACTAGTAATGTCTTCACAGAGGGCAAGTCTGTCTGTCTAAATCCTGTAGCAATGTATGTCAGATCAAGTAAATCCTCTGGTCAAAGACCTCAGCAGATTTCTCTCTGTTTCAAAGGAAGAACCAAAACTATAGAGTCCTGTAGGATCTTCCCTGCCTTCTTCCTCCCCTCACCCATCAGACCCCTCTAGATCCTTTCTCATCAAAAACTCTCCTCCATCCCAACCTACTTACCCTTCTCCAGCCAAACTGGTTTCCTTGCCTTTTCTCCAAGATATACCTACCTCAGAGTCTTCGCGTGTGCTTGTCCCTGCCAATCTGCCCCAGTAGCCACATGTCACACTCCCCCACTTTCTTTAAGTCTCTTCTCAAATGTCACTTTGCTAAGGAGACCTTCCTTGACTAAACAAAATAGCAACTCTCCTCCAAGAGTCTTGTCCCCACACCCTGCTTTATTTTTCTTCTCAACACTAATCAATGTCAGAGTTGGCATACTGTCTTGTTAACTTATTATTTATCCATAGAATATGAGCTTCCTGAGACCAAGCCTTGGTCTTTTTGTTCACTACAACCGTGCCCTGTACAAAATAGTTGTTGAAATAATTAATTTCATCTCCTTGTCTGTAGGGCAAATAAGAGATTATTCAAAACCAAAAAGTTCTGTTAATACACACACAAAAAGCTGAAGCTATCCCAATCATGCCAGCTTCCTATTTGCTTCTCCAGGAGTAACTCTTCCCCAAGATTGAACAAAGACTTAAAAAACAACTCTGTACACAAGAAAGAGCTCTGCTCTGGTGGTGCAGTGGTTAAGGCACTGAGCTGCTGAAAATGGTCAGCAATTTCAACCCACCAGCCACTGTGTGGGAGAAAGATAAGACGGTCTGCTTCCAAAAGGATTTACAGCCTTGGAAACCCCATGGGGCAGTTCTACTCTGTCCTACAGGGTCACTATGAGTGAGAATCTATGAACGTGGGTTTTTGGCTTCTACTGGTGGCATGGTGCCTAACGCATTCGACTGCTAACTAGAAGGCGGGCTGTTCTAACCCACCAGCCACTGCTCGAAAGGAATACTGGCCGATCTACTTCCATAGAGGTTCCACCTTGGAAACCTAAAGAGGAGTGGCTATGAGTCCAAATCGACTCAACAACAGTGAGTTTTGAGTTCCAGAACCCAGAAGATGTAGTAGGTCCTCCCCTCAGCTCTGCCCCTTACTCTACATAACCTTGAACGAGTCATATCATCTCTCTAAACTTTGGTTTCTCATTTGTAAAATTAGGAGTATCAGATATAGGAAGTAAGGAGTATTCAATTCAGTTCACTGGGTTCCTGTGAAAATCAAACAAGAATAAATGGATAATATGAGAAAGCCCTCTGCAGCCTACAAAACCCATGGCAAACTTAAGATTGTATCATCATGCTGTTGGACAAATATGGACCCAGTACATG